CTAGACAAGGACCTAGACACGCCCATTTCCCCATATTTCCCCTGACCATTGCTGTTTTTCAACAAAACTTCCAATTCAAAACAAATGCAAATAGTGTTTTTGTCTCCAATATGCGGCCCAGGAACAGATGGTTTGGATTAAGATGTGAAAGGTTACAAACTGTTTGTACAAGAGTATCAGACTCAAAAAAGAAATGGAATATTTTGACATGTAGCGTTTTACGGAAATAGAATACATTCGTTTTTGACAATGCGAAAATCATATGACTTAAACATGCAGTTACATCAAAATCAAAACATACAAAACACCCCAAAACGATAAACATTTACAATATAGCATACAATTAAAATCAATCCACTAAGGATGCTTACAGAACCGCTCTTTAAAATATGGTGCTCTCAGTAGAGTAAAAAATTAAAGGCAACAATTTTTAGGAAAGGACGCCTCAGGAGCAACCTGGTCAAAATAAAACAAGTCGAGGTGACTAACAGGACTAAAATTTAAACAACAAAAAGGTTCATGGAGGGAGAATGTGGAACTTTAGAGTGGGAGAAAAAGAAGGAACCCGGTTTGCTGTGTGAAAAAATTGCTAGGATGAGAGAGCTACCGAAGTCATTCGGATAGCAAAGCAAACATTCTTTCCATTTCAGTAACCGTACCAATTTTACTCTGCCCAACAGGGAAACATGTATAAAACCAAAGGCTCTGATTGCAGTAATTTCATTATGCTGTGAGCTAATTGACATTTCATATGCAAAAAACAAGTGCTACCTTTTGAAAGTCTGATCTGCAAGGCATTTCGTATTCGTTGCTATACATTCCTTGTTTATTTGAAGCCTCGTTTGCCTCCAGAAAGTCCTCCTAAAATTGCTTTTCGCGCCCGGTATTGCATTATACATGGCAGCAGTCCATTTAGGAACAAACTGATCTACATGTTTTCGTCGACATCAATATCTACAATGACTTTTCCAGTAAACTGAGAAAAATGTCAACTTTGACTCAGTACTCTAGTCCAAATTAGAGAAAACAGGCATTGAAATGGTTTTCTGACTCTTCCGTCAAAAGCTGAACAATCGGCAAGGCAATGAATGAAAATTCTGATCATTCTCGTGGACGCTTTTAATCAGAGCATCTTTTCTTCGTGGAAATGTGCAACTTTTCGCTCTTTACAGCCGGATCTCTAACGAAGCATTTCTCTAAAACTAGATCTGGTTGTTTATACTTAATCAATTATCACACGATATACCAGAACGAAGGATAAATTAAAAGCATTAAAACGGTAACGGCAGTAAGCGAATTTTCACCGAAATTCGTTGCTAAGAATCTAAAGCATATTCGATGACCACAGTTATAGAATGAAAGCCTCTTGATCAGCTTAGACAGGACTTTTTATAAGTCTATTTGATGATATTTCTTCATATCATGTTTTAATCCGTTTCAAGGTGAAAGGAACTCAAATAATTTGCTTTGGCATAACACAAAATAATAGCCAGATTTTCACATGACTGCTGCAGAACGAGATTCTTGTTTGATGTTTTGAAGAATAAAAACAGGATGCAAGTGAAACTTAATAAGGATCAATTTAAAACTTCATCTGACAACCTGAATCCATGAAGGTACTAGTAAAAAGTGTACATAAAACTTTACTTAATATAAAAAATATGATAAAGCACAAGTCTAAATTAAAAATAATGTTAAAATTTGGAGATATAAAGCTGCACATTTCTACACGATTGGAGTGGCCGTTTGAATTTAAGGGGCGGTGAAATAATATGGTACGGGGCAAAAAACTGACTTGCAATCCAATGAAATGTCACGATCAAAGGATGCAAACCCGTGAAACAACGGCAGCTCACAAATCAGCAAAGAAATACGGTAGCTCGCAGCAGGGCCTTGTTTCCATATTGATTTGATAATTAGCGTGCATGCAGCATACACAGCTTCAATTGCCTAGTGCTTTAAGTCTAACACAGTAATGAGACGGAGGCAAAATGGTAGCTCTAGCGATGAAAACCATACCCAAGGCCACAGTTTTGCATTTAAACCTTAAAGGAAACTTCCACTACACGAAACACAAACAATACCTTCATAATATTTCACATCATATTTCAATTCAACAAGGCATCTTCAGCTATGCAAGAGCAAATGGTTTATCATATCCAAGTGATTCAAAGGGCAGGCAAATACAGCTGGAAAACTGGAGATTACGTTATCCATTTTGTTTCCGCAATGCATTATAGGTTGCATCGATATCTTTTCTGTAAGGGCGTAGAATGTGAAGGACATCTGCGTTTTTGCTGTTGCTGTTGTTTGTTGTTGTTGATGTTGTTGCTGTAGCTGTTGTGAATAAGTATTTTAACTCTCGAGCAAGACCACACAATAACGTGACAAACCCAGGCCTATGGGCATGTGAAATAGCTTTCGAGACCATATCCCATAATGCAGTTGCTTGATATAATGCGGTCATAACTGGCAGCGCATTCTGAGTCATCACTTAAAACTATGCTCCTCCTTAGAGGCAGCTAATCGCAGGTCCGGTAAAGACTTGTTGTAGCCTTCTTTGCCTTTGAGGAAGTAGGTAATTATGGTTCCTTTGCCCTACAAACAAAAATGCTCTTGTGATGTAAACAGACAAAACATACAAATCTTGGACAGTTTAAGGAGTAAGCGTAACGTTTCATTGTGAAGTTAATAAACTTGAAAACTGATAAGTCAAAAGAAATGGCGAAAAACATCCGCAAATGGTCAATTGCTCAATTAGTTCAGATCTGTTGTTTAAAGAATTTTCGACACATCAATTAATACACCAGACATGTTGGGGACGCATGATTGATATTATCCGACTGTTTGGATTTCTTAAGATTTCAAAATATTTGTGACGAAGGCATGTGACGTTTCGTGGTCTAAAGTTTTTTTCAATTAGGGAATCATGCACTCAGTAAGTCATCTGCTATAAAAAGTATTAAAAGCCAATAGATATGAATCAAGAAAAGTATCAAGCTTGCTAAATAAGTGTGGTGCAAAACTTGCTATACTGAGCCCCAGTCTCAAAAGATTATTCCCAGAAAAGCTCACTATGAAGTTTCGATGAAGCTCACTATGAAGGTTCGATGAGCCACTTTACAAGATGGCTGAATTATATAGTTTTACAGATCATTTGAGATATTAAGTATTGATAAGAAATGTTTTTGTCCGATTTCACTAGATAAGATGCAACTTGAAAGTAGGCAACAACTTCGTATGAGTTTTGCTCCAGTAGAAAAAAATACCCGGTTTTGGTCTAACAATGTCCTATGGAGATATAGTTTAAAGACAAAAATGATAGTTAAAAAGATACTGCTCAATAAATACTATACTAAGCATGCCGATTAAAATCAAACAAAGCTTGACATTATGTAATGTTACTTCCTCAGAATAAATTTCATGATGAAAAGGCCATGATTGACTAAAGGGACAATGTCTAAACAAAATGGACCATTAATGAATAAAGCTGGATGAACAAACAGGTGGTTAATCCATTGATCAGAGTTCTGGGTTTTTACAAGAACAAAAGAACCAAAGAACGATGTAGTCACACTGAGATAAAAGGCAGCGCACATAGTAAAATCTATTCATCTCGAGAATAGGCCTCTCTGAAACAGAAAATTCGCACCATGGCTGGGTTGATTCCACCATGCAATCAAATAATTATTGAAACGTAAATCAGTGGTGCTAAAGTTTTATTGTGATCAATTTGCATTTTACAGCGAGATTTTGAAGAACAGTTTCTTTTTTCTTGCAGATAGTCTCGTAGAAGAGGGAACAACTGTTAAGAAAATTAACCCAGCGGCAATAAAAAAAATATGTTTCTGAGGGAGGTGCCCACGCTAACACAGATACTTATCGCGTTATTTGGAGCCCTGTATTTCTCATTTTTAAGAACTTAAATATCATCCTAAACATTGGATGCTATCTTGAACTGAAGCATTTCTTTCAGAGAAACAGATAAATACGACTGTATAAGATATAAATCCACCAATAAAATCATTGCTCTTTATAACTTTGAGTCTGCCAAATGATTTAATTGTGGAATAATAGAAGTACATATTGGCCCACTCTAACTAATTATTGTCAAAATAGATCTAGGATTATCCGAATGATGTAACAGTGTTTCGGATCCATCCATTAGCAGGCCCGTCAGAACCGGGGGGCTAGAGCCCCCCAATAATTGTCAAATTGTAGTATGTTTCCTTTATAACAATGTAGTGAATGAGAATGAAAAAAATGCGCAGCCCCCCCCCCCCCAATATGAATTTTGTTCCGACGGCACTTGTTAGAGGTATAACTGCCTCCACACTACAAGTGTGGTATACCAAGACCCTTAGGGTATACCAGCGCAGTTCGTACGCAGCTGATAAAAACAACATACCTTCATTGTAACAGGACCTCTTTCGACAAGAGCGTAACTTCCTAATTCATCCAAGATAGTTTTGCATTCAGGGCTCACGTGAACTCTAAGCGCGAGGCCACTGGATTCCATACGAGATGCATAGTTAACAGTGTCACCAAACAGACAGTAACGGGGCATTTTCAAACCAACAACACCAGCCACTGCCGGACCTATTGAGGATAAAAATGAAGGATTAAAGAGCGGTTTTGATGGAGCGCAATGACAAAGTGGTTAGAGCGCTTGATTGCAGGCACTTCCTGATATACACGGATCGTATATGGGACAGTATAGGTTCCAAATCTTTGATTGGCTGAGAAACCTCAATTTTCCATACAGTTTTGACCAATCAGAGTTCAAGAATATCACAACAACGTGCCTCACAGCTAGATTCAGATCTTTTAGATATAGTCTGATTTCGCAGCAGCAACATGAGGGGAATTTCTGCATGTCTGGCATGGCATTCTGAAAACAAGTCCTTCGATTGAGAGGCTACTATGGGCAAAAAAATTGAAATAAAATAATAAGCTGAAGACTTCAAAGAGAAAATACTAGGTTTACCTATATTGAAACACTAACCTGTGTGAATTCCAATTCTCAATTGTAGTTGTACCTCTGGAAAATGCTTTATTCTGAACGTTTTGATGCAATGAAGCAGGTCTAGGGACATTGTTGCAATCTCTCCTGCGTGCTTATTGCCGTTTCTCTGGGGCAGTCCCGACACAACCATGTAAGCATCGCCTATTGTTTCAACCTGCACAACAACAAACAGGGAATCAACGAAAGCGTTTTACATCTACGTTGAGTGGAAATGCTTAGCGATAGGCATGTGTGCAGGACACTGCTTAAATAAATTGCATTGGCTCTAAAAGGGCCTGTTGATCAAGCGGAGAGCTTTAGTCAGTTTGCATTAATTACACTGAAAACCCATAGTGAATAGTCCAGAGCAAATATCTTTTATAAGCAGGTGGCTTTCATTGAAATAGGAAAGTTGAAATAATCGTACCTTGTATACATCATGAACATCCACGACTCGATCGAAACACGTGTAAAGATCATTCAACATATCAACGACCTTAAAAAGAGATGCGCATATTATTAAGATACAATTTCGAACCAAATGCTGATCAAATGAAATTTTATCAGAGTTAATTTCACGAGGGGTGTTGTAGAATTTGATTTCGCTAGGGGTTTTTTGATATCAGGCGTAGTGTGTTTCTTCTGATCCTTATTTAATCTATTGCATTAGACTAGTGCCTGTTTACATCGCGGGGTTCGTCCTTGTTTCTTTTCGTTTAGAAAAGACTAGGCTCTTAATTCAGTCATGTTTTCTCTTCCCTGCTCATATCTTAGGTATCTCAGATAGGACCGGTGCATTGGATCTCTGGTGGGGAAAAAAGTGAATTTTCTTGTCCATTCCCTGCCCAGAACTTTAAGCTGCTTGTACTTGAGTCTATTAAGCTACATCAAAGGTTAGGTTTTGTATGGGTTACATGAACCGATTGAACCGATGCACCGACGGGCCAACGTTGCTTCCTGTGATGAGGGAATATAGCCTTATGACCTGAGGGTGGTGGCAACGTATTACTGGTGTTACTTGCATCATCTTAAACACATCATATGCTTCAAAAGCTACTTTCTTGTTTCGAAATATATTGCAAATAAAGATGATCTGACAATTATTTAGAAAGACCGATACATTCTTTTTTAACGTTAAACTGTACCAAAGAACAGTTTCAACATTGAAAATTTAGGTTCTTCTTCAGGGTAATTAGCAAAAGGGAAAAAGTTACCTGCATTGGTGTACTTTTTGAGGCCAAGCTAGTGAACCCAACAATATCACTAAAGAAAATCGTGACAGACTCGAAACTTTCTGCAGTAACTGAATGTCCTTGCTTCAGTTGCTCAGCTATTGATCTGCAAAGAAAACAATGCTTATAAACTATAGAAAGGCCAGTAGAAAGTTATCAAGTAGCTAACAAACTGTTCATCAAGAACATAGAATGCTTCAGTGCTTTTCACCTGAATCTCTACAGAGTATAAACATCGGATATGACTTAAGAACAATATATTAAGATGCAAAGTAACGTGACAAAAAAATAGCGCGCTTCATTGCTCCTGTTCCTTCTTTTGCCCAATTAGCGGTGCTAGAAGTGTCAAATGCAGCTATATTTAGCGACAGCAGGTACATGCCTTTTATAAGATCTATCACTATAACCTACACAAGTTCATATGTATACAATTATGGCTACAAGCCTGCCTTAAACTGAATCTGCGGCTAGATATGTATGGAAAATATGGAAACATTATTACTTACTTTGGTAACATTT